AGGAGTTAGATAGATGACCGGCACGACTCTGGTGCTAACAGGAAAAGTATGATGTACAGGAGCAAGCCACTACTAATTTGAGGTGGAGAGCATATATTTTAAATGAAATAAATTAAAAATATGATTAAAATTTACAGCCCGGCATTGTGACACTGTCACAATAAATAATTGCTCGTTTTTTTTTTTTTAACGAACTAAAAATAAAATAACTCAGAAATCTGTACAAAAGTTACGCTTAATTACGCATTTGTGTATGGAATTGCTCACAAGCCATATTCTTCGAGTATTACTGGACAACAAGGATGCTCTTAAGTGTTTCTACAGAGAGGCAATTTCTCTCCTTGTCCACTTTAACTGTATTGATGAGAATATTCGTTTCACATTGCTATTATGGGCTGTTATGGAAAAATAAAATTGATCCAACTTTCAAATTTAATTTTATTTGAAAACTTAAACGAAATGCATCTTACTTATAATAAACGTCGAAAAGTATATAAAATATCTAATTTATTTCTATGAAAAGGAAACTGATCTCCGAGGTATAGGTTTTAGTTTTGGCTTGATATAAAAATACAAATGTGGTGATTTCCTTCTAAAGTTTTGTCCAAAGCGGTTTAAAACCCACAGGTACGAGGGAACATGCAAGTCCATCGTCATAAAAGATCAAAATAAAATGTCGTTGAGATCAATGTAAATTGACAGCAATCGTAAATGATATTGGCATGTAACGCTAGCTTACAATCTGCACATAGAGCTTACATGGAAAAATTTGACCTCGAATATCTCAGTTCATAGATGGAGGTTCAAAATTCAGAAACATCGGCCCTTGCCGAGTTAGACTGTAGAGTACACATTTGCAAAAATTCGTGTTCAATGGCGGTGCGGTTGCTTTTAGCTTTCGATCACAGACAAAACACTTTCTGGCTTATGAAGAACTACGCTCAACAAAATGTAATAAAGATATACATTAAAAATTATCCATTTAAATATGTCTAATTTGTCAGATGATTATTAGGGGAGACCGGGGCAACTTCGGCATGCGGGGCAAGTTTGTCAAGCGCTTTTTTTTAAAAACAAATTAAAAGGAGACTTTGGTTATAGGTTAGGCAGTTGAGTTTTATTGGTGGCTTGTTGAGTGTAGTGTTTTTATTGTTCTCCAACAAGCGTAGTTGAATTATCAAGCAAATTTTCATTTTCGTTCAATTCCATATAATATTTTTTTTCCATTTATATTGAATTGGCAGGTTTTGTTATAATTCCATGATAACGAAAGTTACTTTTCCTGTTAGAAGGATGTAACTTCAACTTATTCACGTGGCCAGATCGTGGCTTGGCATTCTGTTCTCAGGGTTGTACTTAATGTTTCGAAATCATGACTAGCGGGGTAAGATCGGCAACATAAAGCCACATTAGAAGCAAAGGATAAAAATCAAACAGATGATAAATGAAAACATGTTTGCATTTGTTATTCATGTATATATGTCTTTGAACTTGCATTTCGTTGTAATAATATTAAATGGGTGTTGGATTTGTATTTCTTTGTTTTAATAGTGAATTCCAACTTATACATTGTTAATAACATAATTTTATATACGTGCCTATCTTGCCCCATTACTGTTGCCCCTATACCAGGGGCAACTTTAATAAAAATAATTAAAATAATTACAACTTTACAAAAAGAGAGAAGTTGCCGATCTTGCCCCTATACCCGGGGCAACTTCGTCAATTTCTCTCTTCTTGTAAAGTTGTAATTATTTTAATTATTTTTATTTCCAAACTGATTTTAACCAGTTCTATAGTAAGGTAACATTCCAATAGACAATATGCAAAGCTTTTTTTTCAGTTTACAGCAGTATTTATTACACAAAATTTAAGTAAAGCTTAACATGCCGATCTTGCCCCGGTCTCCCCTATAATCTGTTGTTTTAGACTGAACTGAAAAGTATTTTCAAAAAGCTCGAAATTAGTTACTTTGACATCGTCACAATGCCGGGCTGTAAATTTTAATCATATATTAATATTAAAAAATCTACTTTAAGAATGAATTAAAATATAAAGTATTTAAATTTTTAAAATGTGAGATCGAGTAAATATTGTACACCTTACAGGGTCGAGTAATACATTATTAATCTCAGTGTGTAAGAGTCAATTTCATGCCATATTTATCGTTCTATATAATAATAACGTAAACATTTGAATGCAAACCGCGTGACTTTCGGTTCAGGCCGGAAGTTCGTATATAGTTAATGGAGATTTCCGGCCCCTAAGCTTTCCATATCTAGTCTCGATTTTCATCTATCTGACTCCATTGTCGAGATTAACGAAGGAATGACGGAAATACGAACGACCGTGGAATCAATAGGTCTGCAATTTGAAAATTTCAACAATGGGCAGTAAATTGTTTGATTGTTATATACTAATACAGATGTGTGTCTGGGAAAGGGATACCTCGGATCTTTTTTTTCACGTTTAAAGGAAAATAGTTAGATACAGGGTTATGTATCGAGCCCAATATTGTTTAATTTATATCTAAACTTACTTGTTAGAAGATTTAGTGACTCCGAATTAGTGGGAATTGATCTTCTGAGAACGGAAGTGAAAATCTTGACATACTCAGACGATTTGGTTGTTATGATGGACTCACCTATAGGTCTATAGAGAATGATTGATTTTTGGGTTATGGAATAATTTTCAAAATAGAACTTTACTATTTTTCGATTATCTATATTTAGGATATTTATCCTAAATATAGATAATCGAATAATCGCAGCTCGTTTCGCAAATCTTGATCAGGCTGTAAAAATGTGCAATAGTAAGGAACAGTTTATTTACTTAGTGAAGGGACGGATTGTTTGATGAATCTTTGACATGGTAATTGTACATTATTGAAAAGGGATTCTAACTTTTTAAAACATCCAAAGCCCGAACTGAGTATGGCACATATCCCGGCCAAGATAGCTATGTGATATCTTGGCCAGGAGAGTGAAAAGTTTTATATCTGTAACGAATTTGAAAATGACGTCAAACGGATATCGTATATCACATATTTCTGAGTAGCTACAAATTACAGATAATTGATATTCATGTTATCGTCTATTTTCTAATAAGTTTTTATTACTTTTTGTGGTTTTTTTTGGTCATTTTTGGTTCTTTTCGATCTGTGGGCAGAAAAGGGCATTTTTCCATACCCATTGTGGGTTCGGTCAGCCTACAATGGGAGTGACCGGGTAGAGATAGACGAAGCCCAATATATTATTTATTTATAACTTATAACTCAGACCAATCTTCAAAAGCTGTCTCCACAAAAGGTCTCTATCTAATTAGTCGAATGCCGATGTCAAATCAACGAAATAGCGTAGAGTTTACCTCGTTTCTTCTTTAAAGACTTTTGAATTAAAGTATATAAAACAAAAATATTATACAATGTCTAGAAACCAACCGGAAGCAAACCTGGAAATCCGAAAGTACCTTGTATTTATTCAAGCAAGTTACCAATCGCGTACATAAAATTTTATTAAAAAAAAAAACTTTAGAAATTGTCGGTAGTAACGAAATTGCTCTATAATTATCAGGTAGATCTCTGAGCTCCTTCTTAAATATAGGAATAATCTTACATATACGCTAATCCAATGGAATCTTTCCCAATTGATATACATTATTAAACAAACCTACCATATATCTAATCAAGTCTGGGAAGTATCAATACTTATATAGTTCCACCGGTATACCCCATTGATACCCGTTTTTCATAGTAAACAAAACCTTTTCCACTTCCTGTTCTGTTATCTCCATATTCAGCACATCATCCTGCCAATTCCCACATCAGTTATATACAGAAATATCCAGTAAATATTTTTTTAGAGTAAAATTTCTTTGAAAAATAGCCACCCAATCAAGATCTGGAAGCTCCTTGTATTAGTTTTAACAAAAAAAAAAAAAATTAATGAATTGCCAGAACTGCTTACTGTCACCTGATGCCAAGCTTTTATTAATCCACTGTAAAAAAAAGCTTTTTCTTAGCTCCACATAAATTGCTAGTCACATTACGTTCTTTAACAAAATTACTCACGGCTACAATATTTCCAACTTTTGCTCATCTCATCCTGTGTCAACGCCTGATTTCTTCAAGCAATACTCGACCTACAATCTGTATCAAACAACAAAAAATTGAAAGTTCCAATCTAAAAACGACGATTTAATTAAATAACCAAAGACCTCAAACGTTAACACCGGCTGACTCCGAATCGCACACAATAATTTATTATATTTATGATTTACCATCTCTACTTTCTTCTCTCCAAAAAGATTCTCTCTCTATTACCCTTACGGTTCTCGTATTTTCTTTTTAAGTTTACAATCTAATACTACACTAATTGAAAAATTATTACTATATACTTTATCTAATATAGAAAAACTTGTAACAATAGATAAACGAGTCAGCTTAACCAAGGCTAAATCAATTACAGAACATCCTATTTTGTCCACATAAGTGTAATAATCTTTAGATACAGATGGTCCTCTACCATTTAAAATTATAACAATCTTCACAAAAATCCAACACCAATCTTCCACGATTATTTATTAATGTATCCTGTGATAGTCGCGAAACCCAAGATCAAGATCCTCATTACAACCATAAATCCATTCTATCATATAACAGCAAACCAATCTAATTACTTCTGTCCAATATACTGTAGTCTATATAGTAATACTGTATAGTATCAACATCATTAATTTAAAGGGAGTGCACAGTTTTGCATTCGTGTAAACTTTCAATTTATTTTAATGAAAATACAGTACATCTGTCAAGCTGCATAAACTACAGCTATTGATTCTCAAATATATATATTGCTCTTCAAATTTTTTTTTTTTTAATTAAACTATTATTCTCGGAATATATTTATTGATAATTCACTGATAGACTTACTTATCTTTACAATTTTCCTAAAATTAAAATTGCTATCTTATTGTTAACTGTATTGTAACGATAGCAACTTTGATAATTTCAATTACGTGGACTTCATGCTAAGTTATACGATTATGTTATCGAAAAAGTACTGCGCATACTCATGTACAGTATATGTACTGTACTTTAGTTAAGTATAGAACCTTTCACAATGCTTATCAGCTCTTCGAAAAATTAAATTAAGGTAATTAATACTATTTTTATATAAAATATTCTATAAATTTTATATTAAACAGGGTGTAAAGTCCGTGTGCAATTTTAAAAAATTATAACTTTATTAGTATTTGTGATAGAAAAAATCTGTAAAAAGTATTAGAAGGCTTAATGTACCTAGTTTTAAGTAAAATTATTTAGTAATGAATTGGAAGAGATGGACCATTTACCTGGCCTATACGTTCACCAGACTTTATTAGACTTTTTTATGGGGACATGTGGAAACAATAGTGTATGCAATCAAACTTCGATCGTTAGAAGACTTAAAGCTAAAATAACTAATGTGATTTCAGACATTACTGTAAATCAATTAGTAAATGTTTTTAGAGAACTACAAAATAGTATTATACTTTGTATTACTAATGATAGTAGACACGTGAAAACTTAATAAAATACAATAAAGCAATAAACAAATATAGATTTTCTTATTTCCTATACATTTTACATAATTTCTCTATCACAAATACTAATAAAATTATAATTTTTTTTAAATTGAACACAGACTTTATGGACATCCTGTATAAATAATAATAATAATAATAATAATAGATTTACTAACCGTTGTTATTTCATATAAAAATATGTAATTTTGATTAAATTTAATTAACATTTTAATGTTAAACGTTTTTAAAGTTTATTATAAGTATATCTCGGTAATATTTAGTATATTTGTTATCGTATTTTTATATTCTGCTTGTAAAACTAATTAATTTTTAAAACATATGTTAGAAATGTTGGCATGTCATATGATAGATAAAAATGACAGATAGTCTATATTATATTAGCAATATAATTATACACTTTATGCAATATCAATATTAATAAAACGATTGATTTCTCATATGAACATTATTATTATTTATTATTCTTATGGCATCCTCTTCCCGGAGGGTTGTTGTATCAATAACTGAGCAACCATTTCTCTCCATATGAGCCTACTGAATAAACCATTAAATTTTATTTAGAGCCTAAATTAGTTGAAAATTTTCTACTATAATCAGTACAAATTTTAGATAATACGTAACAAAATTATACCCTAAGATCAATTTTGATACGTTGTTTTTTTTTTTTTTTAATTTAATCTATTTATGTAAATGCCTAATCAATCTTATGAGGCTTTGTTATAATTAGATTCATATTAAAAATAAATTCCAACGTTTACATTATTACAAAATATTGATAGATACGAGTTTTTTTTTATCATCATAAATTATTTTTCGGATAAAAATAGATAAAATTATTTATTATTTTCAACGTTCAGAACTTAAAATAAAATAAAAAATGAAACTATAAAATAAATACCTTGTAAATCGTAATAGAAATTCTTAAAAAAAAAATATAAAATTTTATTTATTTATAACCTACTACTTTCATTTACAAGTCGACCCCCCCTATAACACTATTGATAATTCCGTTTTATATGAATTCCATGTTGTACGAGTCACTTAGATTTTACAAATACGTGTGCCGGGCTGTGAACGGCTCGCGT